CCCGCAACGAGCGGAACACACTCCCCCGGCGATGGCCTCCTTGGCCGGAGACGACGGGGAGCACGGGGAGGAAAATGTTCCGCCCGTCCGGGATTCGGAGGTAGGGGCGGCTGTTCTACGGATCCGTTCCAAGAACACCGCCCCTGGGCCAGACGGGGTACCGGCCCGAGTGCTGGCCCTGGCCCTCAACCACTTGGCAGACCGCCTCGGGGAGGTGTTCGACGCTAGCTTGGCGTCGGGACGCTTCCCTGAGTGCTGGAAGAGCGGGAAGCTGGTCCTATTGAGGAAGCCGGGACGGCCTGCCGATTCGGTCGCGGCCTATAGGCCCATCGTGCTGCTGGACGAGGCGGGCAAATTGTTTGAGAGGGTTCTTTCTGCCCGCATCGTCCGGCACCTCTGCGAGGTGGGCCCCGATCTGTCGGACGCCCAATTTGGTTTTCGGGCGGGGCGTTCGACAGTCGACGCTGTGTTGCGCCTGAGGGCCGTGACCGAAGAGGCCGTGAGCTGTGGCGGCGTGCTGTTGGCGGTGTCATTGGACATCGCCAACGCATTCAATAGTCTGCCATTCAGCTGCATCAGGGAAGCACTCCACTATCATGGGGTGCCAAAGTACCTGAGGCGGCTGGTGGCAGACTATTTAGAGGAGCGTACCGTCGTGTACGAGGACCGAGAAGGTAATTTGAGGAGTCGGCCCATGTCGTGCGGTGTTCCACAGGGGTCTGTTCTTGGACCCCTCTTGTGGAACATGGGGTACGACTGGGCCCTTCGCGCCGATTTCCCCCCCGGGCTGGGTGTAATCTGTTACGCAGACGATACCTTGGTGACAGCCCGGGGGGCAAACTTCCAAGAGGCGGCGCGCCTGGCCACAGGGGGAGTCTCCCTGGTGGTCGGGCGCATTGAGGCGCTGGGCTTACGGGTGGCCCTAGATAAGACGGAGGCCCTGTTGTTCCATGGGCCCCGTCGTGGTCCACCCCCTGGCGCCTCAATCGTGGTCAACTCGGTCCTCGTACCGGTTCGGGCCCAGATGAAATATCTGGGCCTGATCCTCGACGGGAGGTGGCTCTTCGACGAGCACTTCCGACAGCTTGCTCCAAAGCTGGTCGGCGCTGCGTCTGCCCTAGGGCGACTTTTGCCCAATATGGGTGGACCCAGCGTCGCGACAAGACGGCTGTACACGGGGGTTGTCCGGTCAATGGCGCTGTACGGTGCACCGGTGTGGGCGGCGGCTCTGACCGCCCAGAATAGGGTACGCCTCTGGCGCCCTCAGAGGGTAATGGCGGTCAGAGCCATACGCGGTTACCGCACCGTTTCTACGGAGGTGGCATGCGCGTTGGCCGGAACTCCCCCGTGGGATTTGGAGGCGGAAGTGCTCGCCGAAGTTTATCGGCGAGTGGCTGACTACCGGGCGGAGAGCGGATTTCGCCCTCCGCCCGAGGATGTGCGCGAGTGGCGCGAAGCCGCTCGCCGAGCCACGATGGCTCGTTGGTCGTTCCGGCTGGAGACTCCACGCGCTGGCTTCGCCGCCGTGGAGGCTCTCCAGCCGGTCATCGCCGAGTGGGCAGGGCGGCAGCACGGGACCCTTTCCTTCCGACTGACGCAGGTGCTTTCCGGGCACGGTTGCTTTGGAAAGTACCTGCACACGGTCGCTAGGAGGGAACTGAGTCCCGCCTGCCACCACTGCGACTGCAGTGAGGACTCGGCCCAGCACACGCTGGCGGTCTGCCCCGCATGGGCGGCGCAGCGCCGGGCCCTCACTGCAGTCATCGGAGTGGATCTCTCGCTACCGGCCGTAGTACGCTCCATGGCCGGTAGCGACAGTTGTTTTACCGCGGTCGCAACCTTCTGCGAGGTAGTAATCTCGCGGAAGGAGGCGGCGGAAAGGGCCCGGGAGGACGACCTCCACTCGGACCCGATCCGCCGCCGGCGAACCGGGCGGCGGAGGCCCGCCTACCACAGCCTCATGCCGCCCTGAGTGTGGCCGCGGGTGGACGGGGTGGGTTTCCCCTCCACCCGCATTAGTTGGCCAGCCGCGAGGGGGCGGCGTCCGCGTGTGCCGGACGTCGCCTAAAGAGAGGAACACAACACTGAGACGGAGCCCGCACCAGGAGCGGGCTGGCGCTAGGAGGGGTCCGGATGTCTTAACAACAGCTGTTCCCGGATCCCTCCTGTTACAGGCGCAGAGTGGCACACCGTGTGGTTTTAGTCGGTCCGAGTCCGACACACCACCCCGCCGCAAACCCCGGAGGGGTGACGGTCCGAGGGGATTTCCACACGTTAAAAAAAAAAAAAAAAAAAAGGGTTTGTTTCAAGTTTTCCTTCTCTTTGCAGTGTGGTTGTTCTGCGTAGTATACTCCCTTAGTCGGCTCTTACGACACCCTCGGGATGAATAGGGTTGGTGACACTGTATTCTTAATCCGTCACCACACGGATTCATTTTCATTTATTAATGTCTAAAAAACCAAAAATAAATTATAGTTAAAAACAAAACAAAAAAAACACGCTTTTGTAACTAGCCGAACTAAAAAGTAAAACATAATTTTCTATAAGTTCAAGAAGAATAGGTACCTAATTATTTTATCGTAAAAAAAAAGCGTGGAGTGCTTTTCAGGATATTTTATAACACAATAACTTAACTTTTACCAGAATCTACCAAAAAATATTTCTACAACAATTGAGATCCAGCACCCCACGCATTTTTACGATAAAATGATTTTTCTCTTTGAACTTATAGAAAATTTTCTACTTTTTAGTTCGACTAGTTACATTTTATATCCTTGCTATATTTATAATATTATATGTCCTTGCTATTAAATATTACCATAACAGAAATGAAACAAAACAGCCATTAGGAGCTTCAAGCAAGTTCCTTCAAGTAAATGCAAGAATGTGAGTTTCATACTTTTTAGCTGGCCAGTCTTACAGGCCCAATTTAACACAGCATCTAACGCATCGCTGAGGTCTAAGACCCTGTTGCAAGACGAATGTGGCTCTACAAGACCTTATAAGGTATATGTCAATTTATTGAACGCACCCGATAGCTAGTTCCCGCGCATTCGATTCCAAGATGGCCGCCGCATTCATCTTTTTATACCTTTTGTCATGTTTTAATAGATTTCTGTATATTATTAGATTCTAGTGTTTAGTTAATGTTTGATTTTTACGCTTTCTTGTTGTATTTAAAGGTATCGTAAAATAAGTTTTGTTATCTTAGCACGACTCATTTTATTATATTAATCAAAATTATATGTTTTATCTTCTAATATAAATGTTAATGTGATGTAAATATTCCCTTCGGATCTGCCTCTCCTCGGGGACACAAGAGCCAGGAGTATGTGGTGTTTCCACTTTTCTACTGGACCTCCACTATTCTGGAGAGAGATCCCCTATTCATCCCGTGGGTATCGTAAGTACCGACTAAGTGAGCAAACTCCGCAGGACAATAGCACTGCAAAGAGAAGGAAAATTTGAAAAAAATCATATGGTATAGTAGGCCAAAACCTCCTCTCTAATAAGAGGCCTGTGTCCAGCAAAGGACTAATAAAAGCTGATAATGAATAAAAGTTTATTAAAAAAAATACATCCCCAGTTCTATTTATGGCCATTTTATGTAGCAACATAATTAATTAATATAATATCTATCTTTACCAGTTTATCATGCGTGAACAACTCATATTTAAACGCAAGATGGCGCGACTTAAAGTGTGGGATTGCGAATGAGTTATCGAAGTTACAACAAATTACAACTTGTCTTCGCGTATAAATCCTTTATAATAGACCGTTTCACTTTACAATAGCCCACGGCATTGCAGGTGTACTCTTTTTTTTTTTAAATACCTAACTAGTATCCACACTTATAAACTAGCTGGTACCCGCGACTTCGTTCGTGTGGAATTTCAAAAGCGCTGCCTTAGTGGTGTAACACGGTACGCGACTGCAGTCCATGAGGTCTCAGGATCGATTCCCGGACTGGGCAATCTTTTATAGGGTTTTTCTGAGAGGAACAATGGCCTAAGTTACTCCGTATATAAACAGCTACCTGGTAGTAAAATATTATCAAAATCGGTCCAACCGTTACTAGGAACAAACAGATAGATAGACAAAAAATATTTAAACTGGGCTTTAGGCATAGGTAATCATGAAAAAACCTCTTATTTTCCAAACAGAGACTTCAATTTTATTTATTTGTATAGAGATGAAAGTAAGTTTGTTTGTTTGTTACGCTTTCACGCCTAAACCACTTAACCTATTTTTAATATTCTTTAACCAATGGAAAGCCACATTATCAGCGAGTAACATAGACTACTTTTTACCGTGATAATCGACATACACACGAGCGTAGCCGCGGGCAAAAGTTAGTAAAAAATAAATGCGAATTTGAGTTTGTACGTTTGTAACGTTTTTACGTCTTAACTACTCAAAAAAAGGACAGAGTACATGCTACTCAGAAATATAGTAATTTTCATAGTACAGTACAGTACAGTACAGTCAAACTAGCACGGGTCACATGAAATCTGTAACTCGAGAGACAATTGCGTTGGGGGAAAGGCTTGGGCTAGACATAGAAATTAGTTGCAGATGTCCATGGGCGGCGGTTGTCACTTACCATCAGGTGACCCGTCTGCTGGTGTGACTCCTCTGCTATAAAAATATATTCATTTACAAAAGTAAATTCATTACTTATTAGCCAGAAGGAATCTATACTCGAGGCATGCATGTATTAAAAATAAATTTTATGTCATATATTAATACTTTATAAATTGCTATAACTAAATTTTATCTGTGGATAAGATTTAGTTATAGCCTTTTAGAGGGACTATACAATGACCACCCCTAGTCATCCCGTGGGTGTCGTAAGAGCCAAACAAGGGAACAAACTAAGCAGGACAACAGCACTGCAAAGAGAAGGAAAACTTGAAACAAATAATTTACCAACCCGTCTGGTCAGCGTGGTATAGTAGGCCAAAGCCTTCTTTCTAAAAATTAAATGTCATACAATATAATTATAGGAAGTATGTGGTGGGCCTCTTGTATGCAAAGGTGTTGAGACGCTTGTGGTGGTGCACACGCTTGGGCAGCGGGAATCTGGTGCTGCTATTGTGGAACTGCTTCACCTGGGGCCTGCGGCATGCGGCCGCCATGATTACTTCCACTTTGATGATCTGGATGGAATGGGCGCGGGCTCTGTGCCTGGCTCCTATATCACGATAGCACTGAGTGACTGCACCTCCAACACTCAAATCACGGTATTCACGGTACATATTGTGTACACCAGAACGTGACTCATAAAGCAACCAGACACCAAAGTTCTTAATTTTAACAGGGCTCTTCTCTGGGATTTCCTTAATGGAGACAATTTGCCAGTGGTCTTCTTAAACTTCTTCAACTGACGCAAGAAATACCAGAAACGAGACTTAGCGACGATTGGGTCGGGAGAGAAGATCCTCATTTTGTATAGAGGTGGCTTTGGCTCGCTCTCCGAAGGGAGCTTGCGGCCGATCCCTCGTATTCCCTCAACTCTCCTTTCGCCTTCATTTTCCGAGCTATGTCCAGCAGTTGACTATTTAAGGTTGTTGATGGGATGTGATGATACAATGACATTAAAAGAGTTTATTATAAAACATTATAAAAATATTTTAGACCAGAGCATTAGGGAATTATTTAACGCGCATCCAACTGAACTATTTTATGGTGAACTAGACGACTATTTTTAGGAACAAAAGTGGAAGTGTATAGACACAGAAATGTTAGGGTTAACATCAAAAACGTACACATTCTAGAGTGAGGCACACAGGTCAAAGAGAATGCTTGACCACTGCCTAGTAGGGGCCGCGGTCAATACTGTTACTAATATTTATGTACTTTTCTATGTGTTTTGGTGTGATCATTTACCTTTGTTCATGGAATGTAACTTAGATACTATGTCAAAGAAATATACTACATGTACTAAAGCCGGGCACGAACGGGGTTCTGTGGGGAGATAGATATTTATATGAAATAGAATGATAGCAAAAAGCTCGTAATGATAGATTAAGTTTGATTGTCCTTCCGTCTGAACTACGAGAATGTTGTGATTACGCGTGTAATAACCAGAGGCATAGAACGTTTAAGTGAGGCGGCTGTAACGCCCATTTTTGCCTGTTTTCTAGATCTTTCAAAAGCCTTTGAACTGGTTTCTTATTATGTGCTATTGGATAAGTTAGAGAAAGCTAGACTTCCACCACAAATCATAAAGCTTTAGCATTTAGCTTAAGTAGTTGGGTAATAAGAAAACTAGTATTGACCCATCTTATTAGGAAACTATTTAAAAATATTGCACTTTGATACATTATTAAACAGAATATAGCAAATGATCTTAACATAAGTTTTCGACCAATTGTCGAAATTCGACCTTAATTTATTAAAATACTAGCTGACCCGGCGAACTTCGTTTCACCTAACAGTCAATGAATAAGCAGGTTTAGGATTTAAAAATTATTAAGTTCAATTTAAACAAACCATAGACATAATTACGCGAGCTGTCAGTTGCGTTTTCTTATTTACCTTAGAGGGGGCAGACGAGCAGACGGGTCACCTGATGGAAAGTGAAAATCGCCGCCCATGAACGTCTGCAACTTAGGGAGTCACAAACGCGTTCCCGGCCTTTTAGTCGTATCGGTCCGGAAATACCGCAATACCATTTATAATAAATGAAGGCTAGACTGATGTTTTTTAATGTTTTGTTTTTATTTTTTATTGATGAATATCATATTTTAATACTTAATATCCTTTTCCGGACGAAGCCAAATCCAAAAACACAAAAATCATAAAACTTGGTTCAGCCGTTCTTGAGTTATAAATGGTGTAAATAACACGACTTTATTTTATACTAGCTGACCCGGCAAACGTTGCTTTGCCTAAAAAAAATTTAGGGATGGGTCACCCTTACCATTTAGGGGTATGAAAAATAGATGTTGGCCGATTCTCAGACTTACCCGATGTGCACACAAAATTTCATGAGAATCGGTCAAGCCGTTTCGGAGGAGTACGGGAACGAACATTGTGACACGAGAATTTTATATATAAGATTATAAAGATTCATAATTGAAAGCAATTCTTTGGTACGATCGACTCGACTCTTTTCTCCAATTTCTATTCTTCCATGGATTTATTAACAGTTTAGCTGTGATTGTAATGTTATGACTGAACTTAAAGTAAAGGTAAAAAGATCATTGCCGTAGTATCACCACAGTTCATCACAAACATTCCAAATAAAACAAACAAAATAAATATTCACCAACCACAGCGCATTGCCGAGCTATCTCGCCGAACAAACCGCATTCATACACATTCTAACTCGAGTTGTACTATTGTGTATTCTCCTTTATGCCCGGGTACGGGTTAGAACCTGTTGACTGCAGTTATTAGAAGTTATTAAAGAAAATAGTTTTTGCGATGTTGTTGTGCCACCAGACAGCAAATGTAATTGCAAGATGCGTGAGAAAAACTCTGTTCGCACTTTATTAAACGTTTCTGCTTATCTCCTTGTCCGTTTTTGTCGTAAATGTTATAACTATAAGTGAAGATAGTTACTGTTTTAACCAAACGTAGCATCGCTTTATGGTTGTTCTATAAACGAATATTAATATATTAATAACTTAACGCGTCTGACGTACTTGTGCGGTAACAAGGCTGCTGATAAACGTACTTATATATTTCTTTACAATTATTTGACCTGGGTGGGAATCGAACCCACAGCTTCTTGTTTAAGAGACAGAATCACTAACTACTAGATCAACAGGCCCGGCAAAATATAATTTGCGTTTCTGTTGGCTGTTGCCGGATGTATATCTTCAATAATCCTTCACATCTCTATTCCACATGGTCGTTGTAGTTAAAGAGTCATGCTGGCACAAATGGGCCAGGCTCGACCGGGGAGGTCCCACAGCCTTACAGAAAATCGGTGTTAAGCAATACTTTCGTCCCCCAAACCGCTCGTCCTCCTGATTCTGATGAGGGGGGAATACAAAGGACGCTTTTATGACTCTTGAGTATCCATGGGGGCGATGGTTATTTACTAGAGATATATAAAATCACAATGACATGTGACAAATCATACGATTTATTAATCATATCATCACATCTGTGACTTTTTTACAAAACCACTGCTACTTTATTATTATTATTACGCTAGCGCAAAACTCGCGAAAGCTCTAATTATAAAAAATCTTTGATAAGAAGAATTTTGATTGATTTCAATGTCATTTATCTTTGTCTATGATAAAATCTGTGACTAAAACTAATCATTTCATAAAATGAATATGATTTAGAAGTAGCAATAATTTACTATCAGGTGTATCCATTTAACTGTGCGAAACTAGATTGTTGCGTGTTTGAGTGTAATAATTAACACCCCATTGCTGGTGCACGTGATTATTGATTTAATTAACTATAAATAATATATACAGGCTACTGGTATAAATAAATTATGCGCTCTACCTGTCGTGGAACCAATATTATTGGCATGTAAGTCTCAAGGGACTTGAGCTCGAAAAAAACAAGACAGAAGATTATTTTATTGATACAAGGGCAAAGAACCAGACTGGTCCACTGATGGGGACTATCGCCGTAAATAAACTGAACTGCGTAACTGGCCTTTGAGTGCTCACCTTATACTAAATCCTGGGAGGAGGAGGAGGGGGCTGAAACGGTTACTCCTTGCACCTTTGGTAGCCTCACTCGGTGAAAGGAACTGAAAATTTAGAACATACTTTTCAAAGCTTTTGTGAATCTAAATGCAACACGCACTTCATCCCTTGATAAAGGATCCCTGTTAGGCTCGGACTTGGTTGGGTACCCATATTTCGGGAGTACCCGCATGCGGTTGCCCGCATGTTTGTTATAAATACGTACATGCATAAAGATAATAATAATAAAAATAATAAGGTTTATTTGTCTCAAAAAGGTAAATAGGTACATAGGTTTGTTATGCTAGTATAATAAAAATAACATACATGACACCTTAGTGAGAGCTGGAGTTTGTAGTAGGTTCGAAACCTGTGTGACAAATCTCCAGGCTCCCACCTTAGCGATACAGATGCAATACATATACATGTAGATTTTGAGCAACGTGACACATTTTTTTATTTTTTATTTTTTTTTATTCAAAATATAAAAAAGGTAAGAAGCATTAGAAATTAGTGTATGCGTGCGTGTGTGTGTGTGTGCGTGTGTGTGTGTTTGTGTATGCGCATGAGTGACAGTACTTATTTTAAAGTACAGATTATCTTTTCTGTTTCGTCATAATCCAAATCAATCAACCACTTGGTAACAGCTTTTTTACATTGAAATTTACTATATAATATATATAATATATTTAATAAATATGTTTACGTATAAATTACACTGAATGGGAATCGAATCAACTAAATAGACCGCATTAATTACTAGCACCCAATTTGTTTTTGCCTTTTACAAATTTTACTTTTTTTTCACATATATTTATGCAAGTTATAAGTAAAGTCCCCATCGTTATATCCCAACTCATTATACAGTGTGCATAGCTTCATAACGCAGCTCACATAACTTATAATTACATACTTACAAAGCTATACAAAGCAAACAAGATTTTGCTACCACCTTCTACCATGAAACTCCGTATTTAATCAATTCTCGCTAGCGACTGTAGAACGGCACTCCATAGTTAAACATGAGTAAATTCAACTTGACTGCACGGATGGCGTAGTGGTTTAAGCGGTCGCCACGCCGCTTCCTACTACGCTGAGTGTTGTGGGTTCGATCCCCACATAGGACGACACTTTGTGTGATCCACAAATTATTGTTATGAGTCTGGGTGTTCTTTGTGTCCGTTTCATGTATGTTTGTAAAGTCCCCCGCGACACAGGATATATTCCTAGTGCAGGAGTTGTCTTTTTAAAAAAAAAGAATTGTCAACCCAATTTTGTTTACAATATTTATCCATGCTTACGAAAACTGCGGAGGGTCAGACCGCCTGTTGCCATGTCGCCACGGTGTGCGTCGCCACGCCATGTGATGCTATATGTAACATGTAATGTGGTGTGACTATGCGTCACATTCACAGTGATTTTATAATCATTATTTCTAGGAAATAATTTCAAAGCTTCACATCTACCAGACGTCAAGCCACCGATTTTTTTTTTTTAATTTTATTGTAACCATTGACATATAACAAACTTAAAATAAAACTATGTATAATGTATAAGTAATAAATAACTATTGCAAGATTAATAGAATTGTAAAA